ATTTAATTAACATATCTCTTATATATTTCTTTTTAACTTAATTTATCTTTTTTATTTACTATGTTTTATTTTTATACCTTTACCAGGGTGAAGGTTTAGTTGGTCCATGAAAAAAACTGTCGGATTTAACTTAAAAATAAAATACATCTCATAAAATAATTATATACGTAGAATATTATACGTATACGTAGAATTATATTAAGGTGTCGGAGACTAAACAACAGTGCTCATAACAAAAAAAGGAATGAAATAACTTTTTTTATGGATTTTCAAACATTGTCGTTTAATTTCTGACGGTGAAATAATCAAAGTGATGACTGGTTATACATCTTTTTCCCTCTACTTTCAAATATCGTTGTTGAAAAATTCTTAACTTTACACATTTTTAAGATATCGGTGTTGGACCTTTTTTGTACTTTAAATTTTAAATTTTATTCACTATTCAACTTGAATATTTTTTTACGTGAAACCCAATTAAAATAAATATTTTTTGTTTCAAAGTGTTTTCAGGATTTATTCATATGTGGAAAACACCACATGTTGCAAATGTGGAACATGCTGTCCGAAATAAATGTTTCACTATTTAATAAATGTTTAGCTGTGAATTTTCCATAATATTTATTCTGTTGGAACTATATTTTCTAAGCTCTAATTCACACTATACTTTATATTATTAATGATATAAAGAAAATTATTGAACATGTTCTTATTGAAAATCTGTACAATATACTATATTATCATATACAATATAAAGCAGGGATTGCGCCAAAATAGTGAATATAGCATGAATTAAAAGAATTGGAAATATACAAAAATTTAAGAAAGACAATTACAAATGTACTAGGTTTGATAAAGGACAGTCGCACATAAATTAAATATAAACTATGTCAATTTTCTACGTCCACAGAAATCATATCCATTGGTAAGCCAGATGAATATAGTATGTCCATTAAGATAACATATCCATATGTAGTAGATTATTTTTATACAGAAAACCCGTATTTCTAATTTTATTTGTCATCGACGTTTCACATCGTTCTCAATCGTTTGCCACAAAAATTGAAATAGTTTATGCAGATGAGTATGTAAGCCAAAATTTGACCATTTATAGACTCTCAAAACAAGCTATACCGATTTAAAAAAGGGTCAACTGTATTGCCATGAATAATACTTTATAGAATAATCATCAGCTCTCTGTCTATTTCGAATTCGTTCGCAATAAATTCTGACAACAAGGCATTTGCACGGAGTAGACAACGGTCAACTGACGTCTCGTCGCTTGATATTTAGCGCTAAGTGACACTTCCTTCCAAAATGGAACTTTATTCTTGGACAAGTCACGAAAAGTCCAGGACGACGACGTGATTGCTATTATATACTTTTTATCTATAAAGTTTACTAAAAGACAAATTTGTACTTGATATGAAAAACTTCTAGATCTACTGTATTTCTATTCCAGATCAATGATTTCTGTTGACTGAACTTCTAGATCTAACTTCATATTAATAATAATATTTTAATACAATCAAAATATTCTATTAAAAGTGTTATTAATAAAATTTCCATTCTTTCGCCTTCTATTCTAATAATTAGCGTAATAGGCGTCGATGCCAAGCCACTTTTAAAAAAATTAATTGGATTAATAAGTACGGAAATAGAAATTATTGTTAAGCAGTTTATGAAACCCTCATAAAGCTGGCAGAAAAATATGCAAATGTTTGAGGCCGTTTTTAATTTGAAACCTTTTTAATTGAAATTTTTGTGCCTCTTTTGACAATGAGGTATTATTACTCGTGAATAATCAGCACAGAAAATAAAACAAACAACGGTCAAAGCTTTCAAAGAGGAAGAAATTCGACAAGAAAAATATAGAAAAGGTAAATCATCAGAACATTGAAATATTGTTATATAATTTCTCCGTTTATTTAATTTGCCCAGAGTAAATAGTGCACAAAATTTTAATAGTTTTAAAAATTGTTTACTATTTGATAATGATTAAATAAAATTAAATCAGATAATTTTTTTTCGTTAATTTAGAAAATTTTAACCAGACAAAGATTATAAGAAGACAAATTTAGTCTCTGGTTTAATTGCAACATCGACAGCTCGATATCAGGATGTCATACGAAATTTGAAAGATTTATATAGTCAGATTACAAGCATACTAACTATTGCTTGGTATAAAGTCTTAATCTACTTTAATTTTCTTAGATGTTTCAAAAAGCATAAATTATGATATTTACAAGCCCATACTCAAGAATAATAATTGATATCAAAATTAAATTTCAGAATCAAAAAACAAGTTCATCACAGAAACGTTGAACAAAAATGATTATAAAATTTACTATAAAAAAATCATTATATTTAATGATTAAAATATGTTTTGCTTTGTAAGCATTTATTTAAAAATTGCACAGTTGCAAAAGACTACATTATAGAAAAGTCTACCGGTAACCACGGCAACATAAAAATAACTGATTTCATATAAACATATTCTGTTACAATGAAACATCAAAAGAGTCACAATATAAAATTCAAAATGTTTAGCAATTACATAAATAATTTTAGTCTAGAATGGATATTGAGGTAAAGTCGAATTCGTAACATCCAAACACCTCAAGAAAGCCCTATAATCAACCTCTTTTCTATAACCTCTCTCCACATAGAAACACTTCATCACAACATCCCATTCCTTCGGTGTCAACAAATGGTAAGAACCTCTCAATGACATAGCTCTCATAAATTGATGCTGAGACACAGTACCACATCTGGCACTATCAAAATCTTCAAAAACGCTTTCATAATTCAGCACTCTGTCAGGTTTCTTTGATAAAAGTTCCAAAGCTCTTCTAGCCAAACGTCGTTCATCACGATTAAGGACACAACCAGTTCTGCATCCGATATGAGGAGCAGGAACATACTGTATTGGTACTGTCAATGGAGAACGTTCTAATGATAGTTGGACAAAGGCTTGTTCAATACATTCGCCAAACCTTACGTGGTCTATAAAACCTGGTCTTTTAGGACTTGCAAAAGCTTTGGCTATTGTTTCGTGTTCGGTGTTTGTTAAGTCTAAACCGCTCATATTCAAACACCTTCTGAAGTTAAATGCAGATACACAACCTTCTCTAGTTTTATCATACTCTTTCATGAATTCTAGTACACTAATGCGTCTGGAAACAACCATGGATTTAATTTTAGCGATGACTACTGGTAAGTCTCTTTCGCAGGCTTTGGGTTGATCAATCAATCTTGGAGTGTCATTCAACTCACGCATTTCTTCATAGAACTTCTTATACAAAGGCTCTACTATATCTTGCGGTTGGCCTTCTGTTAGGAATAATCTGTAATTGAATCCACGATCATCTAAGTATCTGTCTTCAATGCAACGTAAAGACAATCCATCTATACGGGTAAAACTTAACAATACTCTACGCATGCAAGCCCTGCCTACATGTCCTGTACTTACAGGATCATATTCTTTGAATAACTTGTACAAATCCAAACCACGATTAGCAACTGTTGATCGAATCTGAGCAACAGCTTTTTCGCAAAGTAGTTTTCTATGTTCAGGAACATCATCCCAACTCACAGCACCTTGTTGAGGAATCTCCATAATTTCTCGCGGAGGACTTTCAATTACCTGGTCAGGTAGACGTTCCAAGCCTTTCACGGTAAATCCTAAACTTACATCGTTATCAAAAGTCTGCCAGCAGACTGACCGGTAATCATTTGGATCCCTATAATATTTGCAAATACAATCAATTTCGTCCTCGTTCAAATGAAGTCTATGCAGAGCTGATACACCAATCATATCCAAAATACTTCTGAATTTGGTAACACTAACCTTACCAGTATGCAAGGGATCAGCAGCGTCAAAAAAGTGAGAACAACGTATACTATTAGAAAAAACGTGTCTTTGGACTCTACGCATAATAGTCATCAAATCTTCAGTTTGTCTTGGTTGATTCACTATAGTATGAAATGCTACAGGAGGAATTTCTAGGACATCATCCACTCTGACTCTGCCAATTTCTGGACGTTGTGTTTTAGGTAACTCAGCGTTAATCAGTTTCATCGGGAATAAGTGGTTGAGTTCATCACCGAATTGTTCTAATCCTGTGTAATCCAAATAGGAAACGATTTCGTCAACTGCCTTGCAAAAGGCTACGTGGTTTATTGTGAATCTGTCGCGCTGGAATCTTTTGATAAGTAGAAGGTGATCATTGTCCGACAAGGTTAAACCACACCTGTGCAGAACTCTAGAGAAATGATCTAGAGTGGTGGCGCCTGAATCTTGAGCTACTACTTCGTAATCTTGAAAATGTGCTCTAAATAGCAAAATTGTAAGTTATAAAAGTGCTAATTTTTGTAAAGTACATTGATTTAATCTACTGGTTGTTTGATTGAAGCATATGCAACTAATAAAAAATTATTCGTAATATTATTGATGAAAAGCATTTTAGGATCATTTTGTATTATTCATAGGAATTATATATAAGTATAAAATATAAGAATAAAAATAAAGAGAGGTGGGATTTTTTTCATAAGACAATATAAAATATAATGACAGCTACGTATAATAGACCTTTATATTTCAGAGAAATATATCCTTTATTCATTTGTTATCATGGCGCATTTGGATATATGTGAAATATTAGGCAAATTAGGGTATTTCGGACCCGATTATTTTTTTTTTTTTGAATCAACATTTGAAATTTTTCTAAGTTAAATATTTAAGAATATGTGTATGGAAGATTTTTTTATCAAAATTATTTATCTATTTGACCACGATAATTCTTTGGTGACGCCATAGGACTACCTAAACATTTCTACAGTAAATGCCTATTGCACTTTTATAGTACGTACACAGTAAAGCCCAATTTTAAATAATATTTAAAGACAAACCACTTCTCACAGGACAAAAATATTTAAAAGAATTCGTTTACGCTATCAAATGTATCGTCATATAAAGTTTCGTCAAAATCTCAGAAAACAAACGGGTTAGTCCAATGAGACCAATTAACTCCGACGTAAACTAATATTTTTTTCAGTTATTGCAACAGTGTATTTTTAATATGAAGGTGTATCCTTTAATAATATGACTAAATTAGATCAAATTGATGTTTTATATTTTTTATACCTAAGACAGATATCCCTGAGTTTGACTTGCATAGCGATCTTGACAATTAATTGACACAATCGCCTTTGTTCACAATCCGCAATGCGGTTGACTCGCAAAGGGTCCTCCCATTCCAAGCCAGAAACCAAGTCTTGGTTTTTTGAAAAATCTGACTCATGCAATTCCAAAACATCGCACATTTGCGAATAGTGAATTCTGCCATCGGCGACGCTATTTAGAATTGAATTACATCGTAAAAAAATTATGTTAAACTTAGACAGAAGCAAAGTTACATTAACTTTTCGATGATGATAAAACAACTATGATTTAGTAAAACTTTTGAAAAAATAAAATTTTTGATTGATAATTCTCATGCAAGACTATTGAATACATTGGAATGGAAAATAAAGAGACGAATTTTATTCTAAATAATCTAAGAAAATTTGCCAAAAATTGATTTCCAAACACTATACTGAAGTCATTGGGAACTGCAACCACAATTAACTTTCACTAGGGTAAGTTATTGTTATTGTCCAAAAATCGAAAATGAAAACTTTTACATATCTTCACGTTTCAGAGGTTTCTAAACATTTTGCCATATATCAGAAAAAAATTATGTATGTGTGTATATATGTGAAAACAATTTTTTGTCGACGTTTTCGGGAACACCGCTCAACCGAACTGAAATTTTCAAAAAACATTCGATTCCTATTCATATAGAGACGTGCTGATTAGTTTTTGGTAAAAGTTGGTCCAGCCGTTTTGGAGCAAAGAGTGCATAACATGAAAATTAAGTTTGTGAGAGGACGGGACTTAAATTAAAATGGGACACTTTTCATAAGACAATATAAAATATAATGACAGCTATGTACAAATGTAAGAAATATTTATTTCTATTACAGAAAAATATATTCTTTATGCATTTGTTGACTATGACACAGTTTATGATGGGAATGAAATACTGAACAATTCAAGGAAGTACGTAATCTGTTTAAATTTTTTTTAATCGTTTTTTGATATTTTAAAGTTTAACCATTGAAGAATATGTGGGACATTCAATTTTATTGATTCAAAAAACATTAGGCTTGTATTGACGTAATGAAGATTTTTTTAAGTTTTTACAAACGTAGATCCAGCGGTTTCGAAGATTCTGATTTTTTTTTTGAAAAATGCCATTTGGCTGTCGAAATATAAATATTTTGTAATTTGAATCAATCGATATTAATGAGTATCAATAAGTTCTAGAAAATTACAAAAATTTCAAAAAAAAAATAAAAAAATATTAGTTTTTGTAAAATTTTCATTCAACTATCGGTTTTTTCAAAGAGAGCATTCAACTATCGGTATTTTCAAAATTTCATTTCAATGTCCAAATATTTCAAACTTTTTCGAAGTTTTCAAAAGCGTTCAAAGAAACTCAAAATTCTCCAAAACTACTGTATGACGTCGTGCACTAAGGCAAATTTCTGGAACTTCCCGAACCGTAATGAAATATTCAAGGAAAATTAAATGTTATCAAATAGATTATTATAAACACAGTAATTTATTTATGTTTACAGAAAAGTAAATATGCAAAGTTTAGTCAATCGAATTTAAAATGAAAGACATCGTCTATTCCATACTTATAAGAATTATTTAAACTGAATTGCACAGTTAAAATTATTTATCTGAAGTATATAGATGAGTTTCAGAACTTCAGCTAGAATTAATTAAAATTTGAATAATTTTGAATATTTTGAATATTAAAGAAATTTTTTTTTTGGAAATAACAAAAAAAAAAATTAAAGATTTTTCCCCAAAAGCAATCGATTCATCAACACGAGCAGAAAGTTTTTTGAATCATTGAAATCAAATTCTTAGTTCTCTCAAAAACTGCCATTTTTGCACATTTAGCTCGGTATCTCCGAAATGGCAGGACCTGCCTTTGCAAAAAACTAACCACTTCCCCCCGTCATTACGAATTGAATGTTTAAGATCATTCAAATCGGATGCTGCGTTCTCTCAAAAACTCAATTTCTATTTTCTGCAATCTTTGCTCCTTATATCCGAAAGGGCTGTACATGCCTTTACCAAAAACTAATTAGCACATCACCCTATCAATAAGAAACGAATGTTTTATTAACCATTTAAATCGGTTTATCAGTGCGCCCGAAAACGTGGACGAAAAATTGTATTCATACATACACACACATCCATTTTTTCTGAGGTATGCCAAAATGTTCAGAAACCTTCAAAACGGAAAAAATGTAAAAATTTTCAATTTTAATTTTTGGACGAAAATCGAGTTTTCTTTTTTGAGCTTTATAAATTTTAAATTGCGGTACGGCACAATGCCATACCCAACTAGCTTTCAATATAGTTTAGATAGATGTGTTTTATAATAATCTTGTGTTCGTGTTCTGCTCTTGCTAACCAAACAACATTAACTCCCTCGCTAATTTCCACGACTACCATTAATTTCATTCATTTACCAAAAATACTCGGCCAAATCAGCCACTTCTTGTTCGGACAGAGCGACTATATTTCTCACCGGTCCCAGGAGCACCGTTTTGAATTTGTCGAGCGTTATTAGCCCGCCCCCGGTCTTAGTCTTGGCCTCGGCATCGTAGGCGGCGAGTCGGGCCCGTAAATTGAATCCCTTTATACGGAACAGGGCGCCCCTTAGCTTGTTGCAAGTCCTCCACACATCGGTTAAGATTATAGGGCGATCGTGACCCATTGCTGATTATAGAAATATGGTAAATGATAATAAAAACTGTATGGTAAATTTTGCCCAATGTTAATTCTTGTTAATTTTATTCAAACCGCCACCCGCAAAATTTTTGTGATACGTAGTATGAAATATTGACATAAAATAAATGTGTGACATTTGCATTGTAATCACGGGTGTGTATTTTGATTTTATTTTGATGCCTTTATGTTCGAATATATATTATGCGCATTTACTGAAATGTAAATACGTGTGATGGGCGTAATTCAAAGCAAATTATAGAATGATTGATTCATAAATTATTGAAACACACGCCCTATGTTTTGACACCCACTATTCATATGATATTCATGTATATTTTGATTGAGCTTTGAAAATGAATATTAGTGGTTTTTATAATGTGTTAAATGGTAGTTTGCTCGAATACTTAAAATGTATAATTCCTGCTAGTTGTAGCATTTTGCCTTAAGGTAAATTGCATGAACTTACCAATATGTATACAGAATTTACTTAATCAATAACATTAGATATTTAGCTATTTTTGTAAAATGTGAAACTTTGTATTTGAATAATTCAACTATGTAGAGTTTAGTATGAATTTTTATAATTCAACCGCATACCGTAGGCCTATTATATTTTATTATATTATTTCAGACTAGAAGTCTATCGTTAAACCAAATTTTATGAAAATTGCAAAGAAAAATTCAACAAGCAACAGCTTGAAAGATCTTTACCAAAAGCTAAGCAACGCGATTTCAAACCAATATTTTTCTTCCTTTTTTGATTTCTTTAAATTGTTTCATGATTGTGAACAAAAACATGGACAAAAATTTTTACACTTTTTTGCTAATTACAATAAAACGGTTCGGCCGATCGTATCACAAAAATGATGAACGCTAGGCCATATCCAGTTAAATCGAATGACTTTTAAATTTTCAAAATCGGTTCAGCAGTTTTCTTGGAAAAACGTTGACAATATGTCAAAAATTGTCTCACATGCATGCACACACACATTTCAGAGCATTATATAGTCGCTTATAAAAAACAACAAGTACCTCTTCATTTAATATTAACTGCATGGAAATTTTATTAATATTATTCTAATCTTTTTTTTTCTATTTCAGGTATGTTGTTCGTATAATCATCACTCTTATTTCATTATTTGGTAAGTCTTTTCAATAAAATTAGTTTACAATAAATGTGGAAGCAAAAAAATCCTGTATCATTATCACAACACATTAAAAATTAAATGAAAATATTTAATTTATAATAAAAATCATAAAAATTATATATAGTTTGCTTTGCAGATATTTATTCTATTATTGATTTGGTTTATCATAGAGATGAAACTAAAAAACTAAATATAAAATCATACGTCTTTAATAAATACAAAAAGTAATTTATACATGCAAAAATAATTATAATAATACTTATACATATAAAAAATATATGTCAAACTTAAAATGATAATGATGTAGATGAAGAAAATAACAATACATTTTTAATTTAATTTTTTTAAACTTCTTATAGTTTTTTCTTTCATCTTCGTATGAAATTTCGGTATATAGTTTTTCTATTTAATCTTCTACAAAACTTTCATATATAGTTTTTTTTTATTTCATCTTCGTATAAAATTTCGGTATATAGTTTTTCTATTTCATATTGTACAAAATTCGAATATCTAGTTTTTCTATTTCATCTTGTACGGAATTTAATTATCTAGTGTTTCTATTCCATCTTGTATCAAATTTTAATATCTAGTTTTTCCACTTCATCTTGTACGAAATTTAAATAAATAAAATTGGGATTTTTTCCAGAGCTAAATAAATATATTTTGACACAATCACTGCTGCGCACGCATATGTTGCGTGAGACCGTTATCAATGGCCAAGTGCAAAACGCAACACGTTAAATTTGCCAAAAAATATTGAAACATTTTTATTTTTTGTCAACACATTTTTGTTTCAAATCTCAAAAAATTTGAAACACCAAAAAATTTGGTTTGAAGAAAATTAATTGCATTTAGTTTGCATCCTTGAACTTTAAGTGTTTTTAGTAAAATTAAATTTTTAAATTGAAATATTGTACTGTAATTATTTCAAATAGAAACATACTTATTTCTACTATTTTGCTACAATTTTTGACCTAATGTTCAGAAATGGTTCTATTTAATAATAAAAGAATAGAACAGTTTAGCACAGGCAGAAGTATAGCAAGTTAGATTATTTTATTATAATTTCAATAACAGACAAATCTAATCATGAAACCCGCATTTCCATTATAAAATGATATAATAATTTTAAGTCAGATATGAAATATGAATAAATTTTCATCTTGTGCAAAAACTATTTTAATTTACTTTGAGAACGCTAATGCAATTGCAATTTCATCACGCAACCCTCCTTCAGATGCTTTTTAACTCTGTTTGTTTAATCTCTCACAAGCGAATGCATAAAGGTTTGTTTTTCGAACTATTTTTTTGGTTTTATTTTATATTAAATTTGAACTACGAACTATTTTCATAGTTTTTTGTTAGATTTATATCTCTGCATTAGCAGAACGTAAAGATTATTTATATTTTTACGTTTTGAAGCATTTTGAACATTTTGGCATAATTAAAAAAAATTATGTATGTGTGTGTGTATTGGTTTGCTCGAATACAATAATTGGTCCATTATTTCGGAAGCACGGATTAACCGATTTGCATGATTCAAAAAGCATTCGATTTGTATTGATGGGTAGTCCTGATTAGTCTTCAGCAAAGGCAGGTCTAGCCGTTTTGGAGAAACGAAGCAAAAAGTGCAAAAATAGCAGTTATTGAAAACTTGGTTCAGCCCATTAGAATGATTCAAAAAATATTTTGCTGGTATTGAAAACATCAATAGTTTTAGGGAAAGGCAGGTTCAGCGGTTTCAAAATTTGGAAAATATCAAACAATTTTTTTTCTAGTATAAATGCAAACTAATCGTTTTTGTTACTCAAAAATGTTGAAACACAACAGAAAATTTGGTTTGAAAAAAATATATAGATTAACCCTCTTCAAATATGACATGATCGGTTTGTCATTGTAATTCGCATTTAGAAATGAACTTTCATTAGAGAAATGATGTAATTACTGACTAATAAGTTCTATAGTATTTGTTCTCACGGTAGATTATGTAAAACAACGCCTAAACAAATATTGTTTTTGCAACTTCACTCATAATGTAATTGCGTTTGAAGAACTTTATGTAATTAAAATTAACATACATTTATTGACTGCATGTATATTTTTTTTTACTTTTTGGCTGGCGATATAATCTCATTATTTGAACAGCTGTAATATTCGTCTCGCCTGAAAAATATTTTCCATTTTAATAACTTCAAAGATTTATAGAAACTACGAATAATATAGAAATAATTTCTATATCAATAAACTTACGTTTGGTACACGGCACAAATGTTTAAATTGTTTTATTATTTTTAAAAAGCAGGTTAAAATATTCTTCTGATCCAGGTATTTGTCATTAAATCAAGATTTGTACTACGATGTAACATTAAAATGTTTATTTATCTATGCCGATTTCCTTGTTGTTATCGGTACGCATACAACGACAGACCTTTATTCACATATACGACGGCTAATCACAATCGACCTAGTTTTACTTATAACATCCATAAACCTTTGGTAAAATATCGAAAAATTAGGAATGTGACCTAAAAGTTTTGCGCGATCATAGAGGGTTAAACTTGCAAATTCCATTTTCCATGGTTATGAATACAGAAGTATATAATCTAAATCACTTCAAAGAAAATTTGTGAAAATATATTTTCACAAACAGCTTTATCCAATCAGTCTATTTCCTAGCTCTTCGTCTATAACGAAGTGTTGCGTAACGGAGAAAATGCGTTCGTTAATTATGAAAAATGTTTTTCCCGTTGCTTTTATCTCCATGCTCTCTCTCAGTGATATATTACGAGGATATGCAGAATGGACGAGTAATTTCCCTTCAGGTTTGTTGCGTTTTTCCGCCGTTTTTGTGCTTTTCTACCGTTACTTTTTTGTTTTTTTGTTTCCTTTTTGTTTTTTGATTATGTGCGAACGTGCGTTACTGGAGTCGAGTTTCGACTGAGGATTGTTTAATTTAATCATGACGACAATGGACTGTGGCAATGTACATGGGAATATTTAATTAGATTGGATATTTATAAATACTTTTTACATAGGGGATGTTCTGATGTACAGATTTCGAGAGAAAGAAAATTTAAGGGGAAAAAAATTATACAAGATATAAATGCATTTCAAGACAGTTCTCAGATAAATTAGGCATGTTAGGGTGATGCTATGTTATGGGTCTATATTCATATGACTTGGTAGTAATAAACTGTGAAAAAGCTATGTATTTTTATTGCAATAAGGCGTTTTACATCTAAAAACTAACTGCACGTTTGTGCTATCAAGGAGACATCAGAAAGTTGCATTTATGATAAAATTGTTATTTGAAGTTTGTGCCTTTTCTAGATTAGGTATTATGTGTAAAACGCCTGATTGCACGGCAAATACATAGCTTTTTGACAGTTCGTTACGACGAACTCATATCAATATAGACCCGTAATGTGACATTACCATAGCACATCTATTTTATTCAAAAATTGGTCCCAAAATATGGTATTGTTTAATAAAACGTATTTAGTTTTTTTATTCATGAAGTTTTTAATATGCTTCCTTTTATTCATAGCACTAATTTTTTTTTTACTTCCCATATAGTAAGTTATTGTAACAGCCAAAAAATGAGAATTGAAAATTTTTGCATATTTGAAGATTTCTGAATATTTCGACATAGAAAAAAATGGATGTATGTGTCTGTGTGTGTGTGTTTGTATGTTTGTATGGATACAATTTTTCGCCCATGTCACTAGTTTATTCTATTATTGATACTATAAAAACCATCAAAATAGTACAATTTTATATGCTACAGAATATAAAATTTATTATCAAAAATTATAATTTATCTAAAATATCTTAAAAACT